ACACACACACACACACACACATACAATTTCGAAAGAAAGGTTGGGCAGTTTCAAAGCTTTTCTACAATCGTCATTAATTTTTGTTTCGCCTTCTTCTTCGGTCCATCCCATCCCTTGCACCTTTTCATTGTCTATTTTCTCCTTATCTTCCCATTCCTGTATTCCTGTCATTCAGTTCGCTGTGTCTTTCTCCTACATACTAATCCTTTACCTTCCTCTCTTTCTCCCGTCCACTTACTTGCCTTTCTCCTCTCCTCCACCCCACCTCCTCGCCCTTCTGTTTCTACTGTTACCCTCTCCGACATTTTTTCTCCACCCCCCTCCCCCTCTCCCCCACTCTCCCCTCTCTCTCTCTCTCGTCTCTCTCTCTCCCTCTCTCCTCCTCCTCCTCCTCCTCCTCCTCCTTCTCCTCCTCCTCACCTTTGCATCTCCCCTTGCTCTCTCTCAACCTGTTCGACCTTCTTCGCCCTTCTCCTTCCTTCTCCTCGTGGTCCTTCTCCAACTCCCCTTCCTCCTCCTCCTCCTTCGTCTTCAACCCCCTACCCCTTTTCTTCCTTTCCCTTCTCTAACTCCTACTGTGTGTTGTCACAACGGTAATTTTAAAGGACTTCAGTCACCATTTCATCCGAGTAAAAAGCAGTGTTTTTTTCTCTTTTTTAAATGAAACAAGAAAATAGACTCTCAGAAAAAAACACCCTATAATTATTATTATTATTATAATAAACAATTCAAAACTCAGACTAACAAACGACATTCCACGGCAGTTTTTTTCCAGCGCAATTTTTGTTCCAGAGCAGTAAAATGTCGCTCGTTTGTCAGGGGTCTGAGTGGAAGCCAACCTGTGAAGTTCACCACACGCCCAGCTGACGAGAGACTCGCTGAGCAATCTGACTTGCTGTCCGGGGCCGAATCCAAGGTGACCAGTGAACTCCCTCGCCAGGTACTGGAGTATTGCAGGCCTGACCAAAGGAGAGGATAATACGAAAAATGACACGTAGCATCAAGATAACAACGGTGATACAAGGGATGAAAATGATGATGATGATGATGATGATGATGATGATGATGATGATGATGATGATGATGATGATGGTGATGACGATGACGATGAGGATGATTTTCCTGCTATTATACAGCTCTCATTTAGTTTTACTCTCAGTTGCTCCTGAGGAAGCCCAAGTGGCGAAACTTTGAGGTGTTTCAGCTAAACAAATTTTATTTTTAAACACTTTATATTTTCATATTATTTTGTCAGAAAATCAAGCAAGACTCTCCCTCCTACTCTGCTTTCCAAACAGTGATGATGATGATGATGATGATGATGATGATGATGATGATGATGATGATGATGAGCAGCAGCAGCAGCAGCCCCACCACCGCCTAGTTGTAATTTCAAAGAGAATATCTTACGCTTCAAACACAACGTTGTCTCTGTGGATCATGATCGGGACTTCCAGGTGAGGTAATCCTTTGATAGCGTCAGGCAAGTCAGGCCTGGCTTGGTTAAAATCCACGTCGATCAACTGATGTGGTATATCGTGCTGTGGAAGTTTTAAAAAAAATAAAATTTCAGTAAGAGTTTTACGGCAGTTGCAACATAATTAGGTTATATTATTGCCGAAGACTTAGAGGCGTCATAAGAGACTGGCATACCGTACAAAGAAAAGATTAAGAAGGAGGAGAGGTAAGGACGATATTTTGTATTTAATAGGAAAGAAGGAGCGAACCACACTAGAGCGCCCACCATTCCGCCAACCACCCAATACTGTGGAAGAAAATATAAGAAATCAGGACTATAAGTGATGAAGCATCTGTTTAAAAGTAACGTTTTTATCTCTGAATGACACTAGATAAACGTAAAATGTATCTTTAACCCCGTACACTTCTAAGAAAGTCACAATTCAATAATAAGGGCAGCAGTAGCAATAGCAGCAGGTCCAGCAGAAAGAACAGCAGCAGCAGCAGAAGAAGCAGCAGAAGTAGCAATAACCACAGCAATAGCAGCAGCAGCAACGCCAGAAAGCTGTGTGTACACACACATACAGACACACACACACAAACACACACACACACACGCACG